ACCAACCTCTGATACACAGCATTTGGAAAAGGAGAAAAAAACCAGTTTAATGTCACATATTAAAAATTCCGGAATACGAGCTGGACCCAATAAGCAACATGTTCAAAATCTGGTTACCAGTAATGTTGTTGAAGATACATCCAAAATAAATCCATATGAATGCCTTCTTCAAACCAAAGAAGCAGCATTTGAAAATTATTACCAGTCAACAGATGCACAAATAGAAGAAATGAAGAGGAAAAATAGCGAGTTACAGGCGCAATTGGAATCAGCGAATCGTGACCGTGACCAAGCACTGGTAGCTACAGCACAAAGAGTAAAGGAAAACGAAAACATAACTGCTGAAATGGAAATACTGTCAGAAAAAATGAATAATGATCACCAAGAATTTACACAGAAAATCTCGGATATGTCAAAACAAATTAGAAGGCAAGAGAAACAAATTACGTCATTAGAAAACGAATTGGGTAAGGAATAGTGTTACTTTAGTAGATGTATAATCAATCTATGAGAACGGAAAAAAAAGGCTTGCTATACCATCCAGACATATACGATAAGTAATCTATGAGTAAAAATTTATATATATATAATTCGTGACGAGTTTTAAAAATCATATGTAAAAGGAAGCGAATTTAAGACCCATTTTATCACATGATCGATTTTTCAAGGAAATATTGCAGAAAAAGAGAAATTTTACTTCTAAAGTTTCACGCCATGTCCCTCTATATCTATGGTCATTGTTACGTCACATTGCAATCAGTAAGTGTGTGACGTCTTTTTATGATCTAATGTGACGTCACAATACGCTATATTGTAAATGTGTGGTATGCAAAAATATGACATGGGTATATTCACTTAATAACAAGGCAATGTGATAAATTATTATTTTACTTCAGGTACAAAGGATGAGAATTTGCGAACTGCCCAGAAAAAACTTGCTGAAGCGGTCCACTCACCAAGAAAAGACGTAGGTAAGATTTTTGTATCGATTGCTTTCTTTAGTTTTAAGATGATAAATATTTTTGTTAATTATTCATTTTCATTTTAGTAAGTGTCGGCTAATTAAGTAAAAATCATTTAAAGTATTTGTAGGATTGTTGTCAGATGTGTGCATGGAATTATATTTATTTATAAAAAGTTTAACATTCGACATGAAGCATTTTAATTGCGTAGTGCAATCAGATTAAAAATTAAAACCACAACATATAAGAAATGTAGTACTACAAAATCACATTGAGGAGATAAAGATAGTTGGCGATTTTTTTCTATTTGCTGACAAAAATACAAACCAAAGAAATTAATTTACATGGTAAATGTCTCCTTTATGAACTAATTTCAGTGCTTGGAATACGAAACAAACACAGTGGGATGGGTTCTTCAATGGTTGATATGGTAATCAGAGAGCTGACGGGACAGCTCAATAAAACACTGGGCACGGAAAACCTTAATTTGATCGTTAAACAATGCCAGACAATGGATGATATTCCTCGAGGAATGATGGCTGTCCTGTGCTTAAATATGTCCCGGGTGGGAACAAACATCAAGGATGCACTTACCGGTATTAAAGGTTAGTTTTATATATACATATATATATATAACTAGGAATAATCCTTCGTTTCGACTAAAGCACGCTTGATACATACATATCTCATCGTATCTATAGGCTGTGTTGTAATTTCGTGGATGTTCAGAAAATATCGTTTCAACAGCAATTGATTTTGTGGATTATTGATGTTGAAGAAATTAATAAAGACATTTACAGTATGATCTAATAGTACATGCACTTCTTGCTTTTGAACCAAAGTTTACTATCCGCCACAGCTTTAATATACAAGTACCCGAATCACAATGTATGCAATTATTCATGAAATCTCATGCAAGTTGATACACCAAATCTGATTGTAGTATGACATCCTTGTATAGACAAATAGTCATAAATACGTTTGGAAGGCGTACCATATTCCTTAAACAAACCCATCACAGTTTTTTTCGTATTCGTTGTTGGAACTAATCACAGGCTCTCTAAAATGTTAAATGTTAAAGTCGTTTCATAATATTAAACACATTTTAGAATGCATCTAATCATTGACGTCATAATGTAATATTGGTGACGAGACATTGTGACGTAAGAAATGGTTGTCTTCAGTTGGTCGGAAAATGACTAAATGTATGGTTATATCAAAATAACTTAGTCAGGCATGCCAGTAAGTTTTATTACATACTTAGATATGCAGGATCTAGTCGCTCGATAATATGATAATAATCCTTGGAACTAACTGGCTAGTAATGTTCTATTGTGCTTCTGTTTCAAATGAAATTATCACAAAGTGAAGTGCATATGTAACCAAATACATTTAAGAATAACTGTTTAATATTTCAGTGAACAGAGATGTGTTTGTCATTGTGTTCCATCATACGAGCAAGGAGAATTTGTCCTCACTGACCCCAACAAGCCATCGCATCACCGGAAGTGAGTTACGGCAACTTGGCGCCATCATAGACATGGTGTTCAGCAGCGATGGCGGTATCTATGATTGTGACGTCAACGATAAGGCTGTGGCAAATATAGCTACACTCATCTCTAGGTATTCATGAGTCCGTATAGGACTGAGGAGCATTAGTTCAGATGTACTATGTCCGAATCCCGTCGCATACCATCTACCTTAAATTACATTTTGAAATTTTAAACAGATTTTTTCTTTTTATTTACCTCAAATAATCTGTGAAAAAGCCAACACAGATAAATATTCCGAATATGGTCTTTCGAACCTCAACGATTTAACGTTCAGGTTAATTTGATACTTTTTATGTTTATGTGATTATATTTTTGTTTCTTACCATTTCCATGTGCTTTTGATAGTAATATGCTAAAGCATAATTATAAACCGTAGCAAAACTATATAAGATAGCTTCTTATATAGGTCTCCATTGACATATCCTTTGTAATGGCGTTATAGCGTTATAGAAGGAGAACAGTTCGTATTGAAATTGAGACTGTGCCATTACAAAGCCTAAAGTTTCACAAATGTAATTAATTAAATTAGACACTAACTGTACCAAACTTTTTTTAAGGTGTTTGTTTAAATATTTCCTTAAGATGCCGTTTGTTTTTTTGTGTTTTTGTTTTTGTTTTGTTTGTTTTTTGTTTACTCAAGGTCATAGTATTCATTTGCGATATGTGAGCTTAATTTGAATGTAGCTAAAGATTGAAATAATGTGGTGTGCGTTTTCCAGTTATGAAAAATGGAGAAACAATAAATAAAAGCCTAGACATTTACTCAATATGTTATTATATGTACAAATGTTCACAGCAGCAATAATTTCTGATAAAGTTCTATAGTTTATACTTATCACTCTTGCTGGCCCTGATGTTAACGCGTGGGGGTCTTAATGTGGAAGGGTACATCTCTAAAAAATTCCAATCTAATTAAAAAGTAAAATTAGAAAAAATATTGTGGCAATTATCTGGTATGGATGAGACTGGACGAAATGCCAGCGATTCTTACACATTAAGACACAGTCAGAGTATTACAATTAATGTTTTGGTGACTTGTTTATCTTTATAAGCACTGTTATCATTGAATATTAATTTACGTGTTTATCTATGGATACGTTTGGTCTATAATACGGATATGAATGCGTTATCTATCATATAATTCATATCTATTATAGAACATTATATCAAAAGTATACACGTGTTGGTATATTACTCTAATGGCAAATAAGATATTTAGTACTTGTGTGGACAATTACGTTTAAGGAAATTTATGTAAAATAAATTATGAAACCCGTGTTTTAGATAAGTTTTATCAAAGAAATAAAATTTATCATTTAATGTGGACATATATAATTTTATGATTAGATTTACGTATATTACGAAACGGTGTAAATGATATCAATGCACTTATGTTTGTATGAAAATAATAGTGATAAATAATTTGAAAAATGAAACTTGATAATTACTTTTCCACGTTTTATGTTAATTTTCTGGGTATTCTGATCTTTAGACCTGACATTAACTAGTATGTCCTATTTCTAAGTAGATGAACCAAACGTTTTCCCGCTAGTATTTCATAGTATTTTGTATAATAAAATATTGTAAAAATGATAATAAAGACAAGGTTTCTGAAGAGATGATGTTCTAGTTTTGATTCAGTTGGCATAGCCTATAAACCTATCGTTATCGTTATTATGTAAAACCCAGAAGTTTTCACAAGCTGTTCACACTTACTCACTGCATTCGAACTAAACGAGTACAAACCATAACGAAGATAAATATCGGTATTTCCATAACATATCTCGGTTGATATCGGGAGCTTCGGGCAAATCTTAAAGGTTTAAAGAGTGTCTGGGAATTATGTATAAATGTATATGCAAATGTTGTGAGGCAGCTCGCTAGTTATACCACCAAATTGAGTCTTATTTCGTAAGTTGCTCATGAAAAATGACGATGATGTCACGTTTGTGATGATGATCATTACATCGCCTACAGGTATCCTATCATACTGCTATTTTAAGAATCTATAAAAATATGGATATAGGTTGATCAACATAAAACATCTGATTCAGAACCAATGTTTGTTTGCGGTAATAATATACTACGATTGTAACATGTAGTAAAGTAATATCAAGAATATGATAATATCAGTAATGCTATAAAGCCATAAAAATTGTATATTAAGATATATGATTAAAATAAGTATGACGCGTTCACTGTGTATTCCATTTGATTTCTCCTGAACTGTGAAATAAAAACTGCGATGTACAAGCTATCTGACCTGAATTAGGCCAGTATCACAATGTAAATACATGGTTACTTGAACATCTACAGTAAGTTGTAAAGCGTCTCATACACGTGTATAATACATGACGTTTCTATATACTGAAGGCTCTTATGTGTGTAGTGATATCACACAAAAACTAGTTTGATAACAATAATTACTGTGTATGTGTGTCTTGCCTGAGAGAAAACACCCGCCACTGGATTGACGCATTAGAAAATGAGTCTCTCTTTCATCGAAATATTTGCGATAGTGATCGCTGTGTGCCTTTGTGCACTTGTGTCTCTTGCTTGGCATATTCACCGACAACACCAAAAGTATGATCACCTGCCGGGACCTACCAGAGACAGGTCAGTATTTCAAAAAATAGTTCAAATTATCTTCCATAAATATTGTAAATTATTAAGTTCCCAGTAAGAAATAACTGGTGTTTTGTTTCACAGTAAAGACGGCACAGACAGATCAGTTCTATAGGGTTATTCACTTCAGATGCCTCTTTGCATGTACTGGAATACTTTATTCTTATTTTTCCTCGACATGCTAGTCGTGTGAAGAAAACAGGTGATTCATGTGTGATTTTATAATTTTCCATATACAACGAATGAAGATTCGTGACACTTGTCTTTTGAAAGAGACAGATCATTCCCTTCTTACGCTGTCATTTTTATCAAAAGATTAAGTAAGACAGATGAAATAAGTGTTAATGTGCTATAAGAGGAATGAAATAACAAAACGTATATAGCAACGTACATACTTAATATGATCATAAACATTAGCTAGCTGTTTGCTCTTCCGCGACCATGAATGTATTTTTTTAAAATAAGTGGTCCCATGTAATATATAATTATACATATAGATACCGACTTCAGCACTACTATAGGTTTAAGAGGGACACACCCCTATTAATGCTGGGTATATAAACTAGGTCATGTCATTCTCCTAACTTGTCGTATACCACCAGGTCTATTTTTAGAACGGGACGTCGATAATTTGGGTCATAGGGGTATATTTACTTACCTGGTGTACACATATGTGTTTACCTGTATGTGTACATATACAAATTTCAACAAAAAGTTAGGCAATCCATTCACGCATGCCAAAATTTAAGGATTAACATTGTATGTCACTGATATAACATACAATACATTACTTATATTCGTTTACTAAAGTAATTGGATACATGAGAATTACTAAATGTATTGAATTATGAGGCTAGTGCACCTCTCCATCAATCTGTGACATTCCTTTCCACACATGACACATCGGGTTTTCCTTAGTCACCTTCTAGGTCTAACATTTAGGCATCATGAGTTCTAAACGAAACAGTTGTATGATGGAGTTAAATTCATTGTTTGGCTCTACCGTATTTTATCTAAATTTGTATTATATGGTAGAATACACATGTGTGTCTTTTGCAATTTTCTGTGCGGTAGATTGCATCAATTAATAATACCATTTCCGAAGGCACGTTGTATGTGGTCAATGAATCCATGATATTAGACTTTTGTTTTTAAGTATAAACAAGGGTGAGGATGAATTCAATTAATCGAAGCCCAACACTTTTCCTATTTATACGCCATAATAAATCATTGACAAGTAAATATGCCGACAATGATACGATTTGTGATCGCTTACACTACAACTCAACCTAGACCGTTTGTAATTCGGCATATGTGTAAGCTACCTGTTCTACGTCTATATGTTATGCAAAAAAACGAGAACAATTTATATATATTGATTTACCAACAGTCAGACCTACGGGAGTTCAATTAGAGAATTTTATCGTCCGTGAACTTTGTTTGATATCTACAGAGCATGATATTGAGTCTCGAGAAAATTTGTGTTTGCAAACATCATGTTTTATTTCAAATTAAATAAATGTTTGATCGGTACTGCATACATCAATGACAATGAGATCAACAAGAAGTTCATTTAGCTGAATAAATGCTACTTTTAAAATCATTTATTTAAGTCGAGCTAAAGATTTCTTGGTTTTAAAAGAAAGCTTTTCGTTCGCAGACAAATTTTGCTCACAATATTCTTTAGTACAATGTACTAAAATTTACTGACTATTGAGATTGGTTGTAAAACTAGATATCAATTACCTTTTATTGAAGCTTCTGGAGTGGCAACCTTCCATCGATCCAAAAGGTGATTGCTGATGGTGGTATTTTAGATGACTATTTACTGCAAATGTGAGTAAAGGATTCTGCGTGAATATCAAGTATCTAATATCTGAACATCTATCAAGCCAATATTGTTATGTACAGTTGTTGATGGTTATTTTCAAACTGAGCAGAAGGACGTTCACATACACTGTGTTCAGATTTGAAAAACAAACGGTTGGTGGTCATTTTGTAACTTTTAATTTTTTAATGCTAGGTGTGTAAAATACCACAGTGACATGGTGTATCCTATAGCAATGTTTGGTTACGTTGTTTTTACTGCTTAAGATAAAATTTCCAGTCACACCGTAATGGTTATAATGCATCTCCTACTTTTTACAGTTCGTTTCGTTGGCTATTGAAGGCAGTGATAGTCGACGGTCCATTCGTCAGGAATTTAAGAGCTTAAGTTATCGATAAATGCATATCTTCTATCATATAAATATATCCATGAAACGTTTATGTAAATATGGATTCAGAGGGGGTCGGCTTCAATGCTCAGCATTAACGCTTTCATCCGGATGATTTAGAAATACATAGTTATTTCCTACTTACATCAAACTGATGAAAAGCATTTTAAAACGTAATTGCAAAATCTAATACATCAATAAACAGACGAATAAACGTATCAATCAACATAATTCAAGTTAAAAGTTTAAAGTCCCTGGTCTGTGAAGTTACGTCATCGTCTCGATGCTTCGGTTTGGGGGTAAGGTTTCTTTTTAATCATTAATATTACTCGATTTACAAGGAAATTATCTTCCCTTTCGAATTATGTAATAATTATTTTAATGAAGAAACAGCATTATGATGGTTCTACTGTAATTGACTTCAAATTATTAAAAGGTGCTATTCACTTGTGTGTCCTTTGTACAATCTTTACGCTTCTTTTCAGGTCCAAGATTCACGGGCTCTTATTCCGAATATACTTTTGGAACCAGGTTTTGGTCATAGTTTTAGATCCGGAATATATCAAGGTAAATCATAGTAACAAAGTTTGAATTAACTCATTGTTCAGTTACAGTACATAGTGGATTGGTATTTCAAAGGTTACTATATGGAAAACTACCCCCGTGAAAAATACCCCGGTTGTGGTTTAAGCTAAAGAGAGAAATAAAGAAATAATAGAAGAAAAAAAATCACAGTATTCGTGAAATAATGGATTGGAGTTAGCATTGTGTTTCGTTTAGTGAGTGAATTATAAGATGTAAATATGTCAAAGTCCAGTGCAAATTTTGAACAAGAATGTGATTAATTGTCTAGGATGTACTGGTAACAGGGAACCATCCGAAATCTAAACGATTATACTCAAAGTTCGTGAACCTGTTTGGTACAAGGTAAGTACATCTACACATATCCCACTGAAGTTGAAATAGTTCATTGTTAAACCTATAACTGGTTGAGCATTATATATTTTACATAAAATTATATTTGATCCATAATGCTTTGCGAGATATGAATACGAATGGAAATACAAGATAAGAACAGGTTAATGTATACATATGTATTGTGTTTATACTTATACTTGTTAAATCTTATTTTAAAAAATCGTCATTTTTTTTTTTTTTTTTTTCAAAATAATATTGCTTTCCATGTGACAGGTTTGCTGGACAAGGATTAGAATCAGTGATAGATCGGAAACTTTGGGCATCGATGAGGACACACCTGGACCAATGGTTCAAACCACAGTAAGTCATCTAAAAGCAAATGAGGAATAGGGCAATAAGTGTATAGAAAAATGGTGTTTTTATGTCAGATTTATAGATATGAACTCAAGATATATATATATATATATATATATAAGCAAAAGGGATGCAGATATCTGCTACTATTAGCCCTTTCGTCAGTTATGATTTCAAATGACCTATGCCATGTTTTGAATTCATACAAAAAACACAAAAAAGAATCAAAAAGTGTTTACACTTAGACCATAATACACTGTAGGCTGATAAAGATGAAACATTCTTATAAGCAATTATATCGCTTCTTATTTTCTGAATGCGTTGCCTTTTTAACCAGCTCTCTATATTTGAGACAAATGGAGGTTGTTTAGTCAAGTCGACGTTGCCTGTCGGAAATCTGCATGTCATGTTTTAATTTTCGAAGTTTTATCATTGAAACCAATCAAGGCAAAAATCGTGGAGCACATTATCATCCAATCCGAAATTTTGTCACTCTGAAAATAAATAGTTATCATTTATTTCATACACATCATAAGAAAGCGTTAACCATGGCAAAGTTACTTCCCTTAATATTAGCGCACACTTTTGACTACCTTCACCATCCTATACAGCCAATCTAATTCTAGAATCAGGATATATGTAGGGTTGAAATAGCGGATGTCGAGCGTGAATGTTTGGTCGCTACTGATGCAAAAACCTCAATCATTTCAATTCCTAACAACGCTATAACAATGTTGCTGCAGTATCTTTCCTGAAGTAAAAGGAAAAAAATGTACTTACGATTTATTCGGGGTGGCTCCTCTTTGTCTTTCATTTAGAAGTAAATGTTGAATATATTGGTTTACGTTTTCAACATTTTATTTGGTTTGATTTCATCATCATTTAGTATTTTGGTGATCCGCGTTACGGATCTTTTGCTATATATTTGCAACGCGCATTACCATTTTACAGTCACTGGTATCAGTATTAGACACCAACGTGCGGTGTATTTGTCATTAATAAGTATAAGTCCATAAAACACTTCTATGTCAAATAAACTCTTACATTCTATCTTCACGTTGCCAATTACTAAAATTTCGTTCGTGTTAAAATTTGACAGATATTCCTCCTATACAAATATTTCTGTTGACGTTTTCGATATTCAATCTTACTTAACGTTAAATGGCATAATCAATATGTCTCCTTAACGATATTCTGAGGTAGCATTTTGCAGCCAGTTTTCTCTTACTTAGTTATCGGTAAAACATTAATTTAGGGACTAGTTTCTTTGTTCAAAATCACAAATCAGGGTCATATTTAGTTTCTTTAACCTCTTTCAGTCACATCCGTCAAAAGGACTCGGAATTCAACGAGTTTGCTGATCGTTACATAGAACAGCTGGAAAAGAATGCAGACGGCAAAACAGAGATACATACGTTGAATACGTTTAATAAACTGACAATGTTTTTGTTGTGTAAGGTGCGACACTTATCGCATTTATATAGATATGTTAAGCTCCATATATATGCGTTGTATATGTTATCGTCAGCTATAATCCTCATATATCAAACACATGTGGTATTGAAACGTTATATTCTATGTTATATTTATGTTTTACGAAGTGTGTTAGGGTGTAAGATATCATATTTAATATATAATTTTATGTATAATGTATAATCATACGTGTTGGAAGGATCACGATAAAGTGTATCAGTGAACACTTTCTAATCGATTTTGGTAGCTGGCATTCAATCTCGATATGGGGCCATTGGGTGGAAAGAATCATCCCTTTCTCGCAAACATGAGGACAGCCCTGTCCGGATTAGCGGATGCGCTGCAAAATCCCCTTTTAGCTGTACGTATACATACAACGTTGTACGGATTTTAATTGTTTCATTTCAAGGTATGTATCGTCTCGTTTTGCTTTATTTCTACATTTAGTCTTGTTATTTGAAACAATGTCGTTTTGCCTTGACTAATACTGTTCTTAATGTTATAATCGATCAAATGCGTATAAAAAACACGTCAATTTTATCCATATCAATTTATATTTCAAATGTGCAAACTAAGTTTATTGACTTCATTTCCTATTCATTTTAGGTAAACCCATTTAAATGGAGATATCGTCAGAGTGTCCGTAAAGCAATTAATTTTCTCAGAGATCACGCTCAACAGGAGATTTCAGAAAGAAATGTGGCGAAAACTAAAGGCGATTATATTCCAAGAGATCTCTTGGAGTACATATTGGAACTGAAAGGTACCTGTTAGGTAAACGTTTAATGCTTGGAAAGAACTTGACGTTAAGGGTATCACATATATCATTACAACGTAACAAACAAATGCATAGCTAACCCTTTTGTGACGTTTCCATATCTAGACTGCGACACCAGTTCCCTCCAAACTCTTGATGTTCACAGTTGATTGAATCGTCTAGGGATTGTTCCTAATTTCATTATTTCTTTGATCAATGTAAATAGGTCAAAGAACATAATAAAACAAATTTTGAATGATCCAAATTCATGAATTATGGAGAAAAAAAGCACGGTCGCCATCATGACGTTAACAAAATATATTCTTTTCCATTATTCTATGTAGAAGATAGACTTGTTCCTGATTCCCATCTCCAGTACGTGGCTTAATTTGAATTGACCCGAATTTACCTAGAGACAGAAGAATTTTATTTTGATTACATACTAAGGCGAATTTCTCTTTAAACTTATTTTATTTCGTATGTTGCCCTCGTTTTACCAGTAATTACTTTAAATTACGACTTTTACAACACGTTTGTTTTACGGTTATGCGAAATTTGCATCCTTTGACCATTTTACCCACATATTACATCATATATTGCGATCACATAATCAGCCGTTAGTAACATGGTTTAGTTTTTCATTCTTTCGTTTTAGTTTTCCTGCATGCCTATGCCTTGAATATGTTATTCACGAATTAATTTTTTCCATTTGTTTCTTTAGTTTATTCGCTTGTTCTTTTGTTAAACATAAAGACCAAGCTTATTGCAATATCTGCTGCTGTATTCAGTAATTGTAATTTCAAAAACATTCATTCGCGTTGAAGAACGGGCCTGAAAATTAGGGAATAAACATTTTGTATTGATTGTTTCAGAAGATCAACCTTCAATAATGACGGACGAAATATTAGTGGATAATTTTTTGACATTTCTGGTCGCAGGTAAATAGATCTGGATTTATACCAAATGCTAAACATTGAATTAAATGTTGCTTATTATACCGATATACAGAAACAATAAATAAACAAATAAATACATAAAGTGCTGATGGCAGATGTTATCATAATCTCTCACCTCTTTTAATTTTATTTAACAGGACAGGAAACATCTGCTAATACCTTGAGCTTCATCCTTTCCCTTCTCGGACAGAACCCAAAATGTTACCAAAAGTAAGATAAAACGGTTGCGTAGCACAATGTCTCTTTAAGATTAAGCTTTGTTATTGGAAAATGACTGAAATATATCTAGGAAACGTGGTTTAACGGTCATTTAATATTGAGCCATTTGTTGAGGATACGTGCTCTGGATTTTTTTTTATCTTATATAGCAAATAAAGCCTTTTTAACATTGAAAAAAAAGCTTTTTTGGGGTAGAAGTGTTTGTGATTGGAATAATTGAGTCTGATATTGCTTTTTGAGGCTACAGAGCGAGATTGATGAAAACATAGGAGCAGTGTCGGTGATCAACGTGAATGAGCTTGAGAAACTTCCCTATCTCGACATGATATTTAAGGAGACTCTCCGAATTTATCCGGTAGCTAAGGTTACCTTTCGTGAGACAACGAAGGGCATCAGCATGGGAAGTTATCTGATACCCGAGGGAACCGACATGTGCGTAAGTATGAAATGATATAAAATAATGTACAGAGTAGCATTTATTCTAAATCATCAATAACGAAATAATCAATTCATTCCATATGAAAAAGTATCATACGTAATTTCATATTATTCTGTCGACAACGGAAATTTTGTCTTGACATACAGCATTAGTGGTAAGAAGATCTATATCGGATGTAGAGCTGTGGATCAAGAAGACGTAAGGTTGTCACCTGATATTTATACCTGCGGTTTACGCTTATTGGTTGATATAATCTGTCTTCATCTTCTTTTCTTTATACATTGTGAGTTCCATCGCCACGAAAGCTCCACACAGAAGTTCTAATGAACAGTAACCTGTCATGTGGACCTACTCTATTGGTGAATTTTTAACATTCTTGTAAGTCTATTTACAACATGGACTAAATTAATGTATGTTTTATAGGTCAGTTTCTATGCGACGTCCAGGGCGGAACAAAATTTTACAAACCCCACAGAATTTTTACCGGAACGATTTGACGGAAATAGCTCAGAGAAGTACGTCCATGATCTTTTCTGTATTAAAATGATTGATAATTCAAATTAATCACAGATAGTTTAACTAATCATTAAGATAATCTTCTACTATGATTTCTTATTACGTCATGATGAGTATTTCTGTTGAATATTAACAAACTCAATGTTGTTTCTTTTCAGATTTAGTAGGTATGCCTACACGCCATTTTCAGCTGGACCCCATACCTGCATCGGGAAGAAATTTGCAGAGGTATGAGTAGCCACAATATACCGCTCTGCTAGAGAAAACTTCTCTTTAGTTCGTTCGGTTGAGCGCCAGAACTTGTAATCCAGTAGTAAGGGGTTCGAATTCTATCGGAGGTGTTGGAATAAAGAATGACCTCTGTCACATTGGCACCCACGTATAGGGACTCGGATTTCACTAAAAAGAATAATATGGAAAACAAAAAACGAACTTTTGTGTGGTATATTGATGTATGTAGAAATTCATTCTTCTAAAATTATCAAATATATGAAATTGACAAATTTTACTGAATTGTGCGGCTAGTACGTCTCTTCATTCCTCGTTTTACACCGGAGTTAAAAATATCGAGTTCTTAGCCTCAATGGCGAGTTATAGAAGAATGAAACAGCTCTATGCTGCAGTTTAATTCATTTTTTAGGTCTACTGTATCTAACTTGGAGATTAACGGGGTTTTTCGATGCCAAACTTTTCATGAGTCTTCTAAACATTTGTACGGTATTACATACTTCTTGTAGTATAGGACGAGTGATGCAATTCAGATCGTGTATGTATCGGTTGGTTTGTAGTACATATTATATATTTGATATTTTCTCCTCTATTATTTTTAAGGCATTTCCAAGCATGATGTACATCCGTTTACAATTTCAATTGTGAACTCATTGTAGATGGCTGACGTATATCAGCGGTGTTTTTTTAATACTAATAGTCTCTCTTCTTCTTGCTCCCAAGTATATAGAACGTTATCAGAAAGTCATACTGAAAGCATTTATGTTCAACACTGCTTTGTTTGTGGATTTGTGAATGTGTGTGTATATAGCTTTGACTTGCTGTTAGTATAATACTTATCATGACACTTATAATCAATATCTTACTTCAACTCAACAGATAGAGATCAAACTCGTGATTGCCAAGATCATGCAGAATTTCGACTTTGAACTGTCTCCTGGTCAAAGCAGTCAACTGATTGATAACGTCCTTGTACAAGCGAAAGATGGAGTCAAGTGTTTCTTCCGTCCAAGAAGAACAGTATCGGCTTAACGGCAACAAATTAAGGGCAATGAAGTTGGATTTAGCTTTAAAACGAATAAAACAGATGCCTACATAATCCTAAATAGTCGATACCTAATCGCGTGCCTTCATACAACATATATTTTTATCTTCTTCATTTTGTTTCCATATTCGTATTATTAAAATCACCAAACAAAGTGCAACATTTGAGTGGTATTTTTCTTTTTCTTAATTGACAGAAATTGATAGAAATACAACGAAATGATGTTTGGACCTATGGCATTCAACTACTATTGAACAATCTATTCATACGGGAGAAATTGAATTTCTATTTGTAGTATAGAGAATGGCAATCACTTTGATGTAATAAGAAAACATTCCATATCAGGCAATTGATCTGGAACTCTTTGGAGTTTTCATCATCCCATTGTGCTTAAAGAAATCGTTTCATCTTCCGGATTCGCCTATCAGTTTCCTTCCGCGTCTAAGCTATCTCTATTGAGATAACCGTACTTTTTCTATAGGGACGACATGAAGACAAGAGGCCAATGGGTTCAGCATCGCTCACATTGTTATATTAGTAATTCACAAAACGATTTTGTTGACAATGATATAACACAGATTCATAGCACAGTTCATGAAAAAACTTAGATATATTTCTTCTTTTTATGGTACTGGGACTTAGTAAAGTAAATCCCCATTTTTGCAAGATAATCGAAGTATGCCCTCTACCAATTTTTCTAAACCTTCTTTTAGTCTTACATAGTGTATAATTTTAAGGAGCCTTAGGGCTTTATCATAGAGTTAGGATCACTCTTGTGACAATATATAGTTATATATACGATCAATTTAGATCCGATCTAAGATGAGAATTCTTAATGTAAGTAACGTCTGGAGCCCAAAACACCAAAAACATTCCACTTGATAGGACTAAATTTGTATAAAGTTGTAAAGTAACAGAAAAGATGATCGATTTTCCATTTTTCTCATCAAATAACCAGTTAAGAAACAGGCGATGTTTTCCGTCTGCACGCATGTTTCTCACAATGACCATCCTTCCTGCAGATCAGAATCCGCGTTGTTTCAAAATTAAAGATTCATTTTACCCAACCATTATACATTCAGACTCACCAAAGTTTTCCTCATTTTCTCTTGTAAAGGTTCTAAATATAGCGTAAGTCAGAATACAGAATAGATGTGTGAATTCTGATTGAAATTGGTTATCAGAAAGTAATGGAAATTAGTTAAGTGGTTATGAACTCTAATTCACTTGAAAAACTCGAAATAGATTCCAGATTGCTCACAAAAAGCTTTTATAACTGTATCGACAACAATACCGATCTAACCATTAAGCACTATTACGTAGTCAAAAATACCGGACTTTAAATGGTGGCTCGTGTGAGGACTTGCCATCTTCTCAAGATAAACATCCCTTTGTAAGTAAGCATGATAGGAATAAGGTTTAAAAAACACATCTTTTACTATGGAATTCGATGGATATCCAAGAATGATAATATTCATTGAAATCTCTGCAGTTTTCACCCGTTCCTTTGCTCTCTGTTACAGGGTAAGTTATAGGGTCAGTCCGGTCATGCTAAATATGATAAATATGTTAAATTGGAAATCCTGAATAAAATACTGGTATATATGAAAATAAACTCATATGGCATCTTACTTACTTCAAAATATATATCAATTTTAAAAAGATCGCAATATTATTGAAAATACTTAGCTCGATGCGTTAGTAATTTTAACAGATGTCCTTTTTGTACCTAACACTGAAGTCAGATACCACTAAAATTTACTTTCTATTTTCACTGTGTTGAAGTTTTGAACTTAAAGGTCTCTACATTTGCTGATTTAGGCCAAACGAATATTTTTTTCTATATGACAGGGCTTACACTTTGTGGTATACTAGGATCTTGATTTACTACTGTAACCTGAAGTCCTCACTCCCTAAAATTTCATTGTCAAAGCGATGATGATAAATCTGTATTAGGCATTTGAATGTTTCCGTACTCGGCTCCGAACTGATAACATTGTTTGACATGTAACAATATAAACTGGTGAGTAATGTCAATAGTCCTATTGCACACACGCGTCCGCCATCTTGTTTTAGATCATTATATATGCATGTGAAAAGTCAACTGGATATAAACATTCCGTCGCGATAAACATGGCGGCCTGAGGATTTGACGTTTACATCTGAATGCTTATCCATATTTTTTTTTTCACTGAAACTTTTGTGACACATATATTTATATTGTTCATCATATTTTATATTTATATACTTACACATATTTTACACCATGGACATCACTGCATCGAGCCTAGATGACTTTTTACACTGGAAGATAGACCTATGTGATCGAGGATTATCTCGTAATGGCACTAGATCAGAACTGGCTACGTTATGCTTTGCTGCACTATCTATGAATTTGCCACTGAAAAAGTCATCTATTGAACTTTCAAAAGAAAACGAAAAGGTTTATCATAAGTTGTTATGTATTGACGGTACTGTACTACCTGATCCATGTTTGACAACTGGGTAGATGAGAAACAGGGAATGGTTTTGTGGCCTCCAGATGTATCACGGATATTACATCTTTCCTGGTGACAAGTGAACGCGAAGAGCAGGCTAACATTCACCTTAATTAGAATAAAATTGGAAAAGCTTACGAGTATTTTGCCTTCCAGTGGTTAAAGGAAGTGTTTTACCACCCCATATCCTCTGAGTCTTCTGTTTGCTTTTTGAAAGCCAGATGTGTCCCTTCCCAGTGACTGAGTGCAGAGCCCCATACTGTATGGGTTTGCTGTGACAAGAAAACAGGGGGCAACAAGTCAGCTTACTGCTATATGTATTTGTTGAAATGGAGACCAATTGATCAACTTGATATCATATATACAGTTCACTTGTCAAAGGTAACAATATACATTAATGCAATTAAAAGTGTGTTCAGCAGCAAGTTATATCCAATCTTGTATATCTGTCCCTTGCTGATGAGGAAACATTAACCACATTGTAGACAATACACAATACATTTTATTCATTTTTTTTTGTAAACAATAAGGTAATAATACCTACTCTACTTGAAAGAACAATTCTGTTAGAAATGTGACAGCATGGTTTTAAGTAAAACATTTTACCACAACTGTGATTTATTTTACCACCTTGTAACATATATAAGTGTATGTTGATGTTGATATTTTTTACAGCCTTGAACAGACATGTCAACAAAACGTACGGCCAACCACACGTTAACATACACAAAGGAGGAAGCTAGTCAGTATGTGAGATATCTGCCAGTATCGCAAAATTTCAAATAAAGTTTTTCAACACTTATTTTACCTTTTCATTTTTTGTCGGTGCCGGTGGCGATGTACGTGTGGTGGTGATCCGTAATTAAAGTTTTTAACAAACCCCTGTGCTTCAAACAACTTGCCTAGGTATTTTGAATTGTACCTTAATTGTCGATTGGGGACCAGAATGCACATACATACTCGTTTTTTTCCTGGCTACAATCGATGATTGAGGTAATGAAATCATCTAGAAAAACTGCTATGCTTTTGATGTCGTAAAGGCCTAGGACTTGGCAGTTAAATGTCAGGGTCAAATGTTATTGTACAAACTGGGTTTTTTTTCATAAGAAATAAGAAACATTTGCTTTAGTATCAGATCAATTTGTTTACAGTACTGGACGTAATTTGTTGTCTGTAAATACGTATATAGATGTCAATTCAAGTCACTTACACTAAGCATAACACAAACGACCGCCATTGCTGAAGAACCCGGATGTGGCGTTTTATACTCAGTTGACCTATGGTCGAAGAGTTTATGGAAACATGCAGTAGGACTATACTTAACGCAACAAGGGAGTAGATATATATGTACACCTGTGGTCTCGAACAGAGAAGACATTTTGATCATGCATGTAACTAGATAGTGCAGGTCGACGTTAAGCTTAAATGTAAAGATTATACGCTGTGATAAAACAAAACCAGTATTTGTGTAAGACCATCCACTAGCCACCGAATCATCCTGCTGAAGATGAGTCTTCTTTTTGTTGAAATCTTTGGAATTGTAATTGCTGTGTGCCTTTGTGCACTTGTCTCTCTAGCTTGGCATATCCATCGTCAACATCAAAAGTATGATCATCTACCAGGACCTCCAAGGGACAGGTGAGTAATGTCAATACTTAACGCAACAAGGAAATAGATATATATGTATACCTGTGGTCTCGAATAGAGAAGACATTTTATCATGCATGCAACTAGATGGTGCAGGTCGACGTTTAAGCTTAAATGTAAAGATTATACGTTGTATGTCTTAAAATGATCTTATTTAGTTTAAACCAAATAATGAGCCTAAAATACACAGTGAAACAGTATTCTGTGTATACCCAGACAAGCATTTGTAGTGATTAACTTAACGGTCTCTACGCATGCTAATTTAGGCCAAACGAATATTTTCCCTTTATGACACTGCTTAAACGTTGGTATCCTAGGATCTTAACCTCACTCCCTAACTTTGGACCATGACTTAGGGTTCTCATGTCCATTCATATTTGTTAGTTATGGCCATAGGATAACTAGATAATGCTTCATATAATGTTAGGATAATAGGCCGATAAATTAGGGCGCTACGTTAGACCAAGAAGGTAAATCATTTATGTCCTGGTGTGACCAAATAACGTCCCAAATTCAGCTACATTAGAGTCTGTCTCTGGTTGATAACATAGGACCCTAGTTTACTACGCTAGGACCTAGGGGTAACTAAAGGGGTCCTGATGTTACTATATGACGTCCCAAAGATAGCTACGTTAGAGTCCCTGGTTGATAACATAGGAACATAGGTTGCTAAGTTAAGACCCAGTGGTAACTAAAAAAGAAGTGAACAGCTGTGTACCACGATTGTGATATCTGCATTGTATTAACATATTAACAATACATCCTCAATTCATCTCAGTGGTTCAGCGCTAAAAAGTTGTGCATGCATACTTTTTTACACCTGAGATATTGTGCATACACCTGCACTCTTTTATATATCTTTCATTTCGATTTTTTTATGTTAATAATTCTAAATATGAATAAATCCTGACGAAAGAAAATAATTTTCTTTATAAATAATTAATGTTTGTCCACTTTTCTCTTAATGCGATATCATAGTCCTTGACTTTCTCCTCGCTACCGTATCAAGACACACAGTATGAAAATCATGTTCGTACAAAGTTGATAAAGTTGTCAATTCAAACAAAGCAAATTGAAGTGGTACCTTTTTTAATGCTGTAGTTCTGATAAATATTCTTGAAGCTAATGAGAAATTAAACCTAGAGGCAAACATTATTTTCAAAATTATTGAAAATGAATGTCACTAATATGTCTTGCAGCTTCTGGAGTGGGAATTTTCCGTCCATCGGAAAAGTCATTTCTGCTGGTGGTATTATAGACGACTACTTTGTAGAAATGTAAGTAAATGATCCAATTCAAATCAGTATTAGATTAATAATTGTTTCTTCAAAATCGACTGAGATAGAATTAATTTGATTTGTTTATTTGTTTGTTTGGAAAGATGTGTTTGACAAAAGGGATTCAATGGACTGTAGGTACTTGTTAGATAAAAACACATCATAATCGTCACAGCAAAATGCAAAGTTTAAAATTATGTACAGCTGGACAATTTACTTATTTCCATTTTTTGCTTTTGTTTATACGACTTCTTATATATATATCATTTTTTTGGATATATATAATTTTCAAAAAAGTATATCTAAAGAGAACAATAATTTATAGAATACATTGAATTTAAAAATTAAGGATATATATATCAATGTAAGTAGTATATATATCTATATTTAGATATTGAACTCATTTTATTTTGGTTTTTGTCCTAATTCGGAAAATATGAAATCTATTTTTAGGTCCAAGGTTTACGGGCTGGTATTCCGTATCTGTATATGGAACCAAGTTTTTGTCATCGTTTTAGATCCGGAATGTATTAAGGTAAGACAGAATGCAAGTTTTCAAATGTTTTTTTTTTTGTCTCATAAAAAAGAGTGTACTCTTAATATACCGCGAAGCAGTCTAGGCCAAGAGTATGCTCCATTTTTTAAAAATTATTAACACAAAAAGAGCTGATCCTTATAATTTATTCACATATTTTATTTGAAAATGGACTTTTTATAGATGATTTCTTACACCAAATTTTTTACCTTCTTTTCTTTTTTATGTTAATGGGTAATAATTTTCCATTGATATTGGGAGATTAATATTATATAGAAATAAGGATTATAATGATAATCAATAGGCATTAATATAGAGACTTGTTTCTATTTGTGTATCTTTATCCTTATATACAACTATGATGCTTGAAAACATGTCGATTGAATTTAGATTAGACATCATTATACATAAATTATAAATCTAATACGGGTTTGGTTTTTATTTAGGATACTCTGGTGGCGAAAAATCACCCAAAATCGAAACGGTTATATTCACAGTTAATCAACCTATTCGGTACAAGGTAATGTTTTAGTACAAATGTTATAGAATCATATAAACAATCAAGTATTGTCTGAATGTAATTATAATTAATATAGTTGCAAGTTACCAACTGGCAAGTCCCATGAAACTCTAGTGTTCGATTTCGTGGAAGATTAGCCAGATAGACATCTTGCAATTACATCGACAATAATGCTGTTCAGAAAATACTTCATTAATTGATATATATCATGTTTGCATTATCATTTAGGTACCCTGCTGTTTTAAGCTAAAACCTCATCTAAGCGATTGAGTCAATTCAATAAAGGGAACAACCGTGCAGTAGAAATTAAATGCTGAAAAAACGTTTTGACAATACCATACTGTGGGACCAGTTACGATCATAGATACAAACTAGCATTGTCCTATTCCTAATAACTCCATATTAACAATTTTATAAATCAGACTGATGAATGTGAAATTACGATATTTGCAGTATAAAAGATCCCCAAAGTAGCAAGTAGCAAGACACAATAGTGAAATTGAAAATAGTGGTACTTTGTACTTTTCAGATTTCTTGGGAATGGATTGGAAACAGAGATTGATAATAAAATCTGGATACTACAGCGAATGCAATTGGACCAATGGTTCAAACCACAGTAAGTTATTTCATATGATCAATGCAATGATTCGGCAATGTTTTAATAAACCACAATTATATCCGATCACGATTTTTGCTATCACTGAAAATCCACTTGAGAACTGTCGATCGCAACGTTGGATAAAAAAGTATATCCCTTAAAAGTTCCTAATCCAAAGCGGATTTTTTTTCAAATTTGAGTGTAAGCGGATAGGGGATGCGTTTTGTATACAAATTTTAATTCAAAGACTACAATTTTACAATTGGATATGAATAAATATAAGCAGACGAAAATTGGATGTGTAGACACCTTTCTGTATGTATAAATGTGGAACTGACTCACGAATAACAGCGATATATTTATCAGGTAAGTTATTGCAGGTTATGCATAGTTCAGAATATTGTTGTTACAGGTGTGGGATAAATGAGCTTCTGTTTCTTGGGACAGTAATCTGGCTTTGAAATATATGCCTTATTTACATTGGGATTTTTGCGAGCAATGTGGTAAAGTGGGCTATTTGCATATATGTTTATATATCAAAATATGCAGTTATTGGTTTCCATGTTTATAGAAAAAGCAATAGCTTGTTCCTTTATAGATTCATGATTAGTAGTGATTTCTGCTTGAAGTGACGTACCCATTGAAACATCCCGAATTCCAATTTCTGATTACTGAAATAATGGCGTACATACATATGTATATGATTTAACATATAGAGGGATGAAAAACCATGTGATTTTTATATCTGCATCAAAACAGGATTGTAAGGAACACATCTACAGCGATTCAATACCAGTACAAAGTGGAATATCGTTTCCAGTCCCTGTAAAATATATGTTAATTGATACTAATCCATAGTATTTGTTAGGTATGGTGATAACACTGTTTAAAATAAAGTAATTTCGCTTTTCAAATAATATTAACGCGAACCAAAATGTATAGTCTGAATCAGCAGTAAGTCTAGACACTGAGTCACATCCCTCGTAAACGTCAAGTCGACATAATCAATCAAATCCTACCTGACTTATGTAAATCATTATTACTAGGAAGACTTAATATTAAAGTTATCAATCGCATTTGATTCTTATAATAGAGAAATTGTTAACCTATTTTAAAGATTAAAGCTGTATATGGAGAGATTTTATTCTTTTTGATTGACTCGAATTTTCGACATTTAAAAAAATATAATTCGTTATTGATAAATCAAAGTGATTTCCAGGTAATGGAATTCGTTATAAACATCCTTTACTATATTAAAGTCGAAATGTAGTGTTATTTCGTTATTTTCACAATGTTATGAGATGTGCGTACTTGAATCTGTTGGTGGCAATGCCACGATTTTCTGAATTAGAATGATAGCTGGGTTAAGATTAGACCATGTACCTAATCATGTTTACTGAAGTCAAGGGCTAGTGTTCCGTCTCGTGCAGATAAAGACTGTTTCTAGAAAGTGTCAGTTATTTACCATGTCGCGGTTTATACACGAAGAAGAACATTGTTGTTCATCGATTGATTAAAAAAGTATAACTTGATCGTTATAAGAATTAATTAGAAATATTGATTTTTTTCAATATTTGAAATTTTGAGCTACTTAATAAAATTTACATTGAAAAACCCTATCTTTTCACACAAACTTGTCTAAGAACATTTTTTACAATTGCATATTTCATCAACCTCTTTCAGTTATATTCGACAATTTGCACCAGAGTTCAACGAGTTTGCTAATGAATACATGGAACACTTAGGAACCTATGCGAACGGCAAGACGGAGATACACATGCTTGATACGTTAAATAAATTGACGACACATGTTTTGTACAAGGTTCGTATAATATAAAAGTGTGGGTTGATGTTGCAATCCAAGGTCTTCTGTTGAATGAAGTTTGTCAACGAGGTGAGTGTGTTCGTTTGTTTGCCGTCGCGTGAATGGCCTAATTTATTTTGACTAAAGGCCTTCTTGACGTAGTTGTGACGTTTCCACTGAACAATATACAGGTGGCCCATCGCATATCGCATCCAAATAAATGCATGTCACATATCATCCAAATAAATGCATGTCACATATCATCCAAATTAATGCATGTCACATGTCATCCAAATTAATGCATGTCACATATCATCCAAATAAATGCATGTCACATGTCATCCAAATTAATGCATGTCACATATCATCCAAATAAATGCATGTTACATGTCATCCAAATTAATGCATGTCACATATCATCAAAATAAATGCATGTCACATATCATCCAAATTAATGCATGTCACATATCATCAAAATAATTGCATGTCACATATCATCCAAATTAATGCATGTCAAATATCATCCAAATTAATGCATGTCACATGTCATCCAAATTAATGCATGTCACATATCGTCCAAATAAATGAATGTCACATATCGTCCAAATTAATGCATGTCACATATCATCCAAATAAATGCATGTCACATGTCATCCAAATTAATGCATGTCACATACCATCAAAATAAATGCATGTCACATATCATCCAAATTAATGCATGTCACACATCATCCAAATAAATGCATGTCACATATCTTCAACATAAATGCATGTCACATGTCTTCAAAATAAATGCATGTCACATATCATCCAAATCAATACATGTCACATATCATCAAAATTAATGCATGTCACATATCTTCAACATAAATGCATGTCACATATCTTCAAAACAAATGCATGTCACATATCATCCAAATTAATGCATGTCACATATCATCCAAATTAATGCATGTCACATGTCATCCAGATTAATGCATGTCACATATCATCAAAATAAATGCATGTCACATATCATCAAAATAAATGCATGTCACATGTCATCCAAATTAATGCATGTCACATATCATCAAAATAAATGCATGTCACATGTCATCCAAATAAATGCATGTCACATATCTTCAACATAAATGCATGTCACATGTCTTCAAAATAAATGCATGTCACATATCATCCAAATTAATGCATGTCACATGTCATCCAAATTAATGCATGTCACATATCTTCAACATAAATGCATGTCACATGTCATCCAAATTAATGCATGTCACATATCATCCAAATAAATGCATGTTACATATCATCCAAATTAATGCATGTCACATATCATCAAAATAAATGCATGTCAAATATCATCCAAATTAATGCATGTCACATGTCATCCAAATTAATGCATGTCACATATCGTCCAAATAAATGAATGTCACATATCGTCCAAATTAATGCATGTCACATATCATCCAAATAAATGCATGTCACATGTCATCCAAATTAATGCATGTCACATACCATCAAAATAAATGCATGTCACATATCATCCAAATTAATGCATGTCACACATCATCCAAATAAATGCATGTCACATATCTTCAACATAAATGCATGTCACATGTCTTCAAAATAAATGCATGTCACATATCATCCAAATCAATACATGTCACATATCATCAAAATTAATGCATGTCACATATCTTCAACATAAATGCATGTCACATATCTTCAAAACAAATGCATGTCACATATCATCCAAATTAATGCATGTCACATATCATCCAAATTAATGCATGTCACATGTCATCCAGATTAATGCATGTCACATATCATCAAAATAAATGCATGTCACATATCATCAAAATAAATGCATGTCACATGTCATCCAAATTAATGCATGTCACATATCATCAAAATAAATGCATGTCAAAATAAATGCATGTCACATCCAACATAAATGCATGTCACATGTCTTCAACATAAATGCATGTCACATGTCTTCAAAATAAATGCATGTCACATATCATCCAAATCAATACATGTCACATATCATCAAAATTAATGCATGTCACATATCTTCAACATAAATGCATGTCACATATCTTCAAAACAAATGCATGTCACATATCATCAAAACAAATGCATGTCACATTAAACTAATAAGGGTAAATAGTTTTAGCCAAGTAATCCAAGTCAGCACAGATTGATCTGTGCCTTAGCTTTCTAGTTAACAAACCAACACGAGTAAGGAGCATCCTATCACGCACCTCGGATCTTCATCAGCGGTAAGAAAATCCTATAAAACATAAATTTATAATTTTTATCTCGGTGTGAGCTTGTCATTACTTACTTAGATTGAATAAGGTTTAAATGACGGGTGTCGTCGATGAAGCAAAAGACACTTACTCTTTCAGAGCATTTGTTCTTATTCTCCTTGAATTTTGTCATGAGGTGTACGTATAGATTTTTTGTTCATATTTTGCATTAGTTTTATGGATTTGAGTTATAATGATGATTATGTTGCCATGTTGGTTTTTTTCTTGATTTTTGTATGTAACTTTTAGGTCTTTACCTATCAAACGCATTTAAAATGTCAACATACGACATTAATACTTTCGTTACAATGAAGATTTCCTTTAAGAGCAGCTTCAATTGATCAGGTTAAAAGCAACAGGGTGGAATAAGAAAAAAACAATGTCAATAGCCAAATACGTTTGTTCCTTTTTCAGATAGCATTCAGCATCGACATTGGGCCATTAAATAGGAAGAGTAATCCCTGTTTAATAGCAATAAAGACAGCTTTGTTAGGTTTCGCCACACAACTGAAAAATCCCTTGGAAGCCGTATGTATAAAATTGTTACGTTAATCAAATACTAATCAGATCATATTTTTCCGGGACACTTTAAAAGTATATTCCTTTCTTGTTCTTATTGTTTCTCTGTGAAACCTAATTATTACGAATTTTCGACTATTCAATCAATCATTTTCAGATTTCAAATAATCTTTCTAAGCAATCACTGTTCTCAAATCAACCTTGTCCCATCAATATCGGATTCCTTCGGAATTGCATCTCACTTGCAACGCTATGTCAAAGAACTGCAAAGAAATAAATAGAAAAATGAAATGAAAAATATTCATACTGTAAGATTTATTCGGGGAAAATGATCTTTGAAACCATTTTACTTTTTCCTTTAAAGCATGTCATTAGATGCAACCCGAACAATAGACATTTGTATCGGAATTGTTACTGCACTTCCGTTCCTGAAGACATCAATGAATCACTGAGACACTCGATTTAGTCTAAAGTAGCCGAGACGTGCACAGATGTAACATAAAACTTTCATTTAAGCAGGAATGACACGATGAAAAACAAATTCAAAATAAGATAATGTAAGGAAATGATGGGATATATGTGTGCACCTTTCTCAAAGGGTTAGATTGTTGTATCATCCATTGATTAGTCATTTTTTTCTCACTCAATTTTTTCATACCATAAACTATTCAAAGCATTTTGCATATGTCGGTCTACAACTCACTTGTTTAGTCAAATCAGAAACAAGTCATTAATAGTTTTCCAATAAAAGATGTTCATGTTTAGACTTCAGTAGCAAAAAAAGCAAAAACCAAATTGCAAATATTTGCAGCTTGTTACTCGTGGTCAAATTTTCTTCATTAAACATAACTTATTTTGCTGATCAGCTGGGTATTATCTGTGTGAACCTTTTGCGAAGAGTTTCAGTTTATTTTTTCATTTTTAATGTCTTATTATTTAGATGAATCCATTCAAATGGAAGTTTCGTCGGGAAGCTCGAAAATCTGTATATTTTATCAGAGACATTGCCAAGAAAGAGATGATGAATAGAGATAAAGCGAGACGTGAAGAAGACTACATTCCAAAAGATCTTTTGGAGTACATATTGGAACTAAAAGGTAATAAAATGCAATACAATACGGTTTTCGCAATAATAACTTAACCTTCTTCTTCTTCTTCTTCTTCTTCTTCTTCTTCTTCTTCTTCTTCTTCTTCTTCGTTTTCTTCTTCTTCGCTGTAGCGATGATTCCTTCACACACGTTTACTACATGGTCTCGTTGTCTTTGCGTTATATACATTGAATTGATATTATTACCTTTGAAATACATTTCGTTTTCTGTTTGCAATTACCTTGAAAATAGTATTTGCTTCGAACATTCACTCCTTGATTCGTTTACTTGTTCGTTGATATGGTGAAATTAGGTATTTGAACTTATGACAACTTGTACGTTGTTTAGGTTAGTGTTTTAAATGCTATTTCCTATTTCCAAGAAAGAATATTTTATAAATGTGTACCAGCCGATATTTAAGCTAAAGACTAGAGAAATTGAGTCTGTAATGCTTGTTTCAGCAAAGTACCCATCAATTTTCACGGATGAAGAGTTATTGGACAATGTCGTGACATTCATCATTGCAGGTAAAAAGTTAATTAGCTTATACCAAACAAAATCAGTGTAGGATAGCAATACTACGAAATTTTACTTTTTCTAAAGGTGCATAAACTAAAACAAAAATGACGTCAAATGAATTCTAATGTAAAATGTATAAATCATATACTTCATTACCTGTTGCTCCCTTGCGACCCGAATTTGATCTTTCAATATGACGTCATCAAGTTATTTTTGCTCCTGGCGACTTTGTTGACGTCGTGATTCCGTAAATGAAAAACATGAATAATTTTAACGGGTTTTTCCCATTGCTAAGATATCTTACTTTAGTGTAAAGGTGAAATTTGGATTTCAACAAAAATGATCCCATCTGTTGCTTCATGACTTTCCATCATTTTGTTGTCAATTAGTGTGCTTGGTTTTTGTTCCGAACCTTCATTGGAGTCTTTAATCACCAACTTAAGATCTGTTAACTTCATCCTGCAGAAATACAATAACGATGAAAATACAATCTCTTTTTTTTTCGAAATTATTTTGGAATCCTTTCAATCTCAATCGTATTAAATAGGGCAAGAAACGACGGCAAACGCCTTGGCCTTCATGCTACTCCTTCTCGGACAGAATCCAGACTGTTACAAGAAGTAAGTTACATGACCGTGTTTCACAATTTTGCTTACAGGTATATGTTACCGAAAACAGACCAAAGAAACATTTTTAAACTTTCTTTAATACAGTATATAAGAGAATACAAACTCAGGGCGTTAGGTTACAAAACAATGTTTCCCGCAAAAATTTGTTTATTTCGCATAACATGTATGTGATCGATTTGAATCAAATTAGGAAAGTTATGCTGTTTCTTTGAAGGCTTCAAAGAGAGATAGATGAAAACATTGGAGCAGTGTCTGTGATTACCCTGAATGAACTTGAGAAACTTCCCTATCTCGACATGGTATTAAAGGAGACTCTACGACTTTACCCAGTAGCTAAGATGACTTTTCGCGAAACAGCCAAAGATTGCAGTCTCGGTGGTCACTGTATCCCCGAGGGGACCGATATGCTCGTAAGCCTATTGTAAATAATATGTAGTTCTAGAAGTATACTTTTGTGTACAACATCACACATAATAATATAGCAGGTTAATCGGGTTTCACCAAATAAATATGTTAAAATGTTTATTCAATATATTCGATGTCTACTATGATTTGTTATTCTAAGATACTCGACAGTCAAATAAAAGATGTACTCTGATGAATTGATAGAAGGATCACTTTGCTGTCTGAAGGTCGAAGGTTTTTTTCGAATATAATAATCATTAATAATAATAATGAAAATGCTTCTTATCCAGAAAAACGATTTTTTATTTGATCGAATTGATTTTTTTAAAATGTTTATTAAGTACCGACTTGTGTCATTTGACTTTATTTTGTATGTACTATACAAATATTATTTTTATATAGATCAGCTTCTATGCGACATCCAGGGCGAATCAAAATGTGACAGATCCAACCAAGTTTTTACCAGAACGATTTGATAAAAACAGCCCAGAGAAGTACGTCCTCTATGAATTCAACTCAATCCGGATAATTTGCTCATGTTCATTATTAATTAATGTCAAATGACCAAATAATTAATTTAGATGTTCAGTCTTTTGCAGTAATATTTTAGTATTGAATGCATTTCATTGCTATAGATCATGATAATGCTATGATAAATTCCTTTACAGATTACACAAGTATGCCTCGACACCGTTTTCAGCTGGACCACATACGTGTATCGGAAAGAAGTTTGCAGAGGTACAAGATATAGAATTTAAAAATATTTTTTCCTTTGTGATCCTTTTCCTCAATTGAAGAAAAATAATTTCGATGAAATGATCTCCAGATGTCTAGCAATTTAACCTGTGATACTAGCAACACGTGATAGTGAATAAGGATTTAGTTTAGGTGAAACAATAGTTTATTGATAAACGACATCAAAACAAGATTAGAACAGTAGTATATGTTCATATAAATAATCATCCTCAAAACCTACTAGGATTCAAATATTACAAGTGTAGGTTCAGGATTGTAACCAATCTCATTACATTTCCGTATATTGCATTAATATAACTTTACTGATAAATGGAATTGGACAAATAGGCATATGAAAGCTTTTTCTTTAACAAACTAAACTATAAAAACAAATAAATGTTAGATATTATCTGATTAAGTTGAAAATTGATATGAAAAGGTTTAGGGGGTGACAATGCAATGATACTATTTTCGGAAGAATGGTTTCAATATAGTTACCCAGGTGAACAAATGAAGACCTCTTGGAGGCATCCCCAAAACCACTGGTGATAAGGGAGCGGGGGAGGGGGATTCTAGTTTCGCTCTGATATACTCGCTTTCTTATAAGTAGGTCACATTGATCTCCATGGTAGAGAATTCGTCAATGAAGCAGAAAACACACACTCTTTCGGAACATTTAAAAACACTAAGGATTTCGTATACCTGATCCTATTGTTCATATATTCACTGGATATCATAATTTTGTCAGTTTAAATGAAGTGTACTCTCTCTCTCTCTCTCTCTCTCTCTCTCTCTCTCTCTCTCTCTCTCTCTCTCTCTCTCTCTCATTATTATTTTACTATCTTCTTTTCAAAGAAAGTGTTTTGTTTTCAAAGTATATCTGCTTTTTTGTTATTATATGCTTATCAAGTGAGATTATGTCTGCTGTCTAAAACATGACAATGATAAAGATATAAATATTTTTATCACAACATATTTCATTTAGCATGACCATTGTTATTTCTTTATTTTTTACTTTTACTTAACAGATCCAAATGAAAATCATCATTGCCAAGATTATGCAGAATTTCGACTTCGAACTGATTCCCGACCAACCATATGAACTGATCGACCAAACAACGATCCACGCGAAAAGTGGCGTCATGTGCTGTTTAAGCCAAAGGAAAACAATTAAGATGTAACGAATGTGACATTGATTCCTAAAGTGGATGCAAAGAATATATCAAGTAATATTAAGATGATATCAACTTTACGGTGAAGGTGTAGTGATGGATGACGACAATACCAGCTTCTTTTCTCGATACTCGGTGTAAAATATAATATGTTCTTAAACAGAGATTTGCATCTGCTACATTTTTTCCATATTTTTAAAATTCGATTTGCTGCTTTTATTCGTTTATTCGGATTTAGTGACAAAGCAATGCACAGTACTGATTGTCTTGGTTGTTGTATTGGCCATACACACACACACACACACAAATTCTTTTACAAATGGCAGAGACGATGATGGTCTATTATTAGTGAGCTTGGAACTGTCAAATTCGTAGGTCTAAATATAGTTGGGAGAGATTTTGGGAAATCACACAGAGAGTATAACTTGTCCTTTTCTCAATTTGTATTTGATATTCGTGAGTTGAAAACAGTCGTAAATAATTTCGAATCGGTCTTAAGGGTTTACTAATAAATTCGTAGATGAAAGAAGAATATGATTTTTTTTTTTTTTTGTTATTTTAGATGCGATTATATTGTAGACACAATGTGAAGTTGAAGTCAGATTTTTCCTAAACATTACACAGCAGGATATTACTTATATAGTAGTGATGAAATGTCTAATTCAAGTCATATCACCAGACATGAGTGATGGCGGTGTCTGTGGGACTCGGTGAACTATCATTGGAAGGGATTTACAGTGTAGATAATGTTTTAGTTTTGGTTAGTTGACCTGTTAAGGTGACTTCTCACTGATGCATCGTTTCAATGTCCAGGTAATCTGACATTTCATTAATTTACCGTGCACAAAATTAAATGCCGAATCAATACAAAACCAATCATGAATATTAACGTAGAATGTAATGTAGAATGATACGGTAAAATAATATTTTCTGTTGATAATTTCATGAATGTATAAGTTATTGGTTAAGAGTAATCACGAATTTAACTTAGATAAAAACTCCACGAAAAATGACGATTTTACAGTATTACACATAATGATCACCACTACCGACCTAAGAATATAATCTCTGTTGGATTTCAAAATCTGTTCTTATCGTCTAGGTAAAGTTATTTTAACTTTAGAAACATATAAATATGATTAATGCTTGTCACATGTAGAAAATGCTACAATAATAAAAGGAAACTTTAATCCCGTATATTTAAACTTTATTCCCGAATATTTAAACTTTAATCCCGTATATTTAAACTTTAATCCCGTATATTTAAACTTTAATCCCGTATATTTAAACTTTAATCCCGTATATTTAAACTTTAATCCCGTATATTTAAACTTTAATCCCGTATATTTAAACTTTAATCCCGTATATTTCGATTTTTTTGTACCGTTTCCTTAACCATTAGGGCAAGAAAGGAAGACATTGTAAAATGTCAATTTGGGAAAAAAATCAAACATATTACGATTCGTAAGATAACAAATGTGTAAGATGTATATACTTGTAAATATTATAATATGAAGGATTGTCCTTTACGGTATTGAATAGTGAATATTAGAATACACTTTAAACAATATGACCGCCTGTCTTAATATTCCTTTTCAGATTTTCGAAGCAATGTATGTGCAGTTTATAGCTCATTAAACTGTTAGGTTGATAAGATGTATTCAAAAGAAATTTTAGTTTCAACCACAAGTTCATCTTATCTTAATCAAAATGTCAAGCATGAAAATAACGGTGTATCTGCGTTTGTTATACCACTATGAAAACAGTACTGTTCGATGTGGTCGTTAGTATGACCTCATTTGGATTTACTTGGGGCATCCTTGCTATGCACGTAGTCTTATTCTACATGTCCTTTGGTTCATATGTTGCTTATAGTTAATCGGATGCAGGTTTTAATAAACATTATGTTGGCACTTCAGTATTTTGTTGTTGTTGTTGTTGTTGTTGTTGTTGTTGTTGTTTTTCTTAACCATTGTTACTATATTAATGGACCTTATATAGTGAAACCTACTTTTAACATCACATATATGAGAAACTTTATGAAAGATTGTTAAGGAGTGCCTTGTTTATTTGAATTCTAACACATTATGTGTACTAAAAGTCAATGTTTGGTTCAGTTTGAAATACTCGGGATATCGTAAAACTATTTTCGGAGATGACACAGAGAGACTTATAAGATATAATCTCGGGACGAGGACCGAATGGACGATAAACCGAACATATTTACTTAGGCTATCAGTGAGGGTTATATGAGGGCAATGTCGAAAGATATCGGACTCGACTATGTTTTAATCTTTCGTATTGATGTATTTAATGTGTTATTTGTTTAACTAATTAAAATATCTAACGATTGTTTGGCCGAGGATGAAAGAACCGGGAACATCTTTTTTAAAAGTTTCTATTTCATTTATTTATAATAATAAATGGAATTACAAAACTTTAGATAAACAAAAAATGAAATATTGACGAAAAGAGAGAAGTCTTACTAGATAAAGAATTTGGTACTTAAATATCCTTAATGAAAGCCCGAAGGCTGGACGGTTACATTGCACTTGTCACGCTACAAGGTGCGCGACACTGGCCTTCAAAGGCCAACATCAAAAGTGCGTGCCTGACCACTGTTCCGAGATCACCCTATAAAAGACACGACCACCCATGCCCTACGCTTATTCAAAGACCAACCATTTTGTTGGTAAATCAAACCACCCCAACCCAGGGGAGGTATACCTTGCAATTGTGGCGGGTAATGTAACCGTCCAGCCTTCGGGCTTTCATTACAGAAAATCCCGCTCATCCATCACATGGTGATGCTTGGATGAGGCGGAGATTCTTTTCCATTCAGCCCTCCGGCTGTCCGGTTACATTGCACCTTCAAAGTGTTTGACAACAAAATCATTAAACCGACACAAACCAAGAAAACTCAAGATTTTTTTTTCATTCAAAAATTTTATAATTTTCAATAAGAACTACACAAAATATGAATTCAAAGATCTCAGACAGAAAACCCCAGACATAGCATAGGGATGACAAAGTCACTTCCTGCTGAGCACATTATCCGCGAACGACGGAGACGGTTCCAAATCCTGGACATCCCTCAAATAGAACCGCCTAAATGTTCCACACGAGCTCCAACATGCTGTCTCAAGAATGGCCTGAAGAGATGTTCCTCCTGCCATCGCAGCCGATGTAGCAGCCCCTCTAACTGAATGTGGCCGGAATGTCTCTGTATCCACCCCAGCTTCAGACAGCATACCACGAATCCATCTTGCCACAGTGGATGTCGACATTGAGGTACCCTGTCTGCAAGAGACTATTAACTTATTAGACTTCAGAAGTTTAGCAGTGTCCTTAATGTACTGTCTCAAAATACTGTTTACACATAGCCTAGGATTAGAATACTTCTCCAAACTAACTTTATAAAATGGCTTTGCTCGTTTAGCTGTTTTCATAAGCTCTAGGATAGCAAATCTTGCATGTATTCAATGTCTAAATTCACCAAAGTTTGAGCCCTCTGTACTGACACCAAAGCCAACAGACATGCTAATTTCTTAGTTAACACTGGTAAGGTCAACCCTGCATGTGGATACAATGTCTCTAAGTGTTTCAACAAAACAGAGATATACCATGTCGATTTATAGCGAGGCTTAGGGGGTTAGCATTAAATAAACCTTTCATAAACTTCCCTAACAATGCTGTAGTCTGAACTAACATACACTTGTGGGTATTAATGACACTATAGGACTTACCCATATTAAACAAATGTGTCAAATAAGAAATCAACTGCGACACAGAAGGACAATTGGTACCAACTTGCCTTTCACGACACCAAGATACCCAGTTTCCCCCGGCCAAATCGCATTGTTTTGTTGTCGATCTCCTCCAGGAGGAGACGACCCACAAGGCAGCTTGTCTCAAAAGTCCCTTCCTCTGAAGGGATCAGAGTGAGGTTCGCCTTTTGGGGATAGCAGCATGTCCCGCCACCTGGATAGCCTGGCTGGTACAGCCACAACAGCGTCTAACAGCATAGGTAGCCATACCTGCTTGCGCCATAAAGGAACCACCAGTATTGCCTGACTCACCTTGTCCTCCTTCACCTTGAGTAGGACCCTGGTTATTAAACTGAAAGGAGGAAAAAGATAAGGTGTAAGATCACTCCATGACGTCATAAATGCATCATAACACATGGCATCTGGATCAGGCATCCAGGACACAAATCTCTGTAACTTACAATTTAACCTGCTAGCGAACATATCAACGTCAGGAGTAAAATAGTGCCTACAAATCCTGTCAAATATATCAACATGCAATGACCATTCCCCTGACGATACTAATGACCTGGACAAGTAATCTGCGTCAACGTTCTCCACACCAGGTAAATGACATGCTGACAGATGAATTTTCCTTCCATCACACCATATCCATATTGACTTGGCCAAATCATTCAACAGGGGTGAAATACCACCCGGCTTATCAATGTAAGAAATAGCACAAGTACTATCTGACTTGATTCTAATATGGGTATTCCACATGTCCGAACACAAGGCCTGAATAGCTAACCATACAGTCTTCAACTCTAAATAGTTGATATGGAACTGCCGTTCCTGCAAAGACCAAACCCTCTGGGTTGTTAACTCTCCCAGTTTTGCTCCCCAACCTAAGAGTGAAGCATCTGTTTCCATGACGACAGATGGGTCTTCTGGTCTAATGCTCCTACCACTCACATGCCTAACATTTGCAATCCACCATTCTATTTCTCTCCTACATTCTGGTGACAGAACTATCCGTTCATCATAATTATCATTTCCCTGCAAGTACGAAGTTTTCTCTCTCTCTGTGACCCTATAATAAAGCCCAGAGAGTCTCACCGCCCTAAAAGCTGATGTAAACCAACCAATCAAACTTGCCAACTCTCTCAAACTGACCTGGTCTCCAATATGACCTTGCATGTTGAACATATCTTTCCCATCTTATCATCAGGAAGGGACACCGTGAACGAAATAGAATTTATC